GGTTAAGAGACTCACGCTTCTGACTGTGTTAATTTGTCATTCCAGTCCTCCAGAGTATTGCTGGCCGAAACATATCTACAAATACAACAGATTAGAGAAATACCTCTTTCATTTGTTCATACAGTTTACTCAGGGCCGTCTATTAGGAGGAAATAATACGGCTTTTTTTCCCCCCTTCTCTCAAAACTGGGCAACTTTTTAAGACTTGTGGACTTCCAACTCCCAGAATTCCTCAGCCAGCTTAGCTGGCTGAGGAATTCTGGGAGTTGGAAGTCCACCAAGTTTCGCCAAGACCTCATAGAGCTAGAAGGGACCTCAGAGATCTTCTAGTCTAGTCCAACCCCGTCTAGCCAACATCACTCAGACCTCCCCCCCCACATCCCTTCTAAGTCAAAGAGCATATCTCCCTGTAACCAGGTGGTCTCTTTTCCCCCCCTGGGGTATTTCCCAGCATTCACTGCCCTGAGGCTGCAGAGGCTCAAACGGGAGGGTGTGCATTGATGGGTTGTTTGATGGATGGAATAACACAATGACAGGGTTGGAAGAGACCTTGGAGGTCTTCTAGTCCAACCCATGGTGGTGTTGGGTTTAAAGGTTGGACAAGGACCAGGTTTTAAGGGTATGGAAGGTTTACCTGCAATACCAAGATTTTACCGGTGGCCTCTGTACAAATCCTCCATTTTGAGGGTGGAATTTTATGCACGTGTATGAAACAGGCTTTGCAAACAGCTTTGCTGCTGCTTTTAGCAGTTTGAGAAATGCTTCGTGCTTAAATGTCTGTGGAGATTCTCCATCGTCCAGATCATGGCTGTCCCAAAAATGGTTTTGTTTTTTTTTTAACTAAGGGGCAACTGGACTTTCTTGCTTTTTTCTTCTGAAGATGTTTCTCTTCTCATCCAAGACGTTTCTTCAGCTCTGGCTGGATGGTGTGGAAGGGAAGGATTTATACTCCTTTGCAGACAGCTGCTCGTTTGCATCCTTTTTAGAGAGTTGTTGAGGCCACTTGGACGGGCCAAAGTCCACATTTTGGTCAGAGGGGACCGCTGGTTTGAAAGAGGGGGTCAAAGAGGCCATCTATGCCAAAACTGAACAGCCCTCTGTCAACAGAGGGGGTGGGATACAACATCATTTATTTCCTTCCTACAATACGGTCCTTTCGGCAGTTCCAACCCGTTTGCACCACTCAGGTGACCCTGAGGACAAAGTCAAACCTCCAAGTGGCCTCAACAACCCTCTAAAAAGGATGCAGATTACCAGCTGTCTGCAAGGAGTATAAATCCTTCCGTTACTCACCATCCAGTCAGAACTGAAGAAGCTTCTTGGATGAGAAGCGAAATGTCTTCAAAAGAAAAAACGAAGCCCAATTGCCTCCTGAAAAAAAGCTCCTTTGGGACTTCACGTTTAAAGCATCCTGCTTCACGCTCAGGAAGGGACAGATTCACACCCAAAGCAGAACGTTTCATAAACATTCCCTGTTGGATCTCTGCCTGCGAGCAGCATACCACAAGAGCAGAACTATAAAAACATACCTACCGATGATACCAGGCCAAGGATGGAAATGAAAATGACACCCAAAGTCAACAACTCCTAATTTCTTCTATTAAAGGGAGTCCTCGACTTAACAACTATTCGTTCGAAGTTACAAAGGCACGTGATAAAGGTGACTTATGACTGTTTTTAACATTTACGACCGTC